TCATGTGACTCCAACATTAATAAATTGCAGACGAAAGCGCGGGGCCAGGGGCTCGCTGCCCTGCCGAGCAGGGGGCGGGGGTCGAGGACCTGGGTCGAGGCCGGGCCAGGGCAGGGCGCTCCCCGCCTGTGGGCGCCGAGCCTCTCACACAGAGTGGGGCTCAATCCATCATGAGCCGCGAACTTGCATGTGTCTCAGGGAAGCAGTTGTATTTTTAGACTCCCCCCCATCCTCCATTCCTTAACCATAGAAAGACCAGCACTGGGCAGCCAATTTCGAGGGTAGCCAACCTCGACTGCTAAGTTAGTTTTCCCTCGTTCTGTATGAAAGAAGAAAAAAAAAAGCCTCAGAAGTGGTCTTCCCTCACATCCGACCACTGGCCTTAGTGTCTCATGTCAGATGGTGAATGTTAGAAAGAAGCCCAGCTTTCCACAGAGCGGAGGAAAAATAAACCAGGGAGTTAATTACTAGCTGTGAAAGTAATCTTAAAGATCTTCTGTAAAGGGTGATTGAAATCCAGTCTTCCTTACAGGCTACCCAGAGCCAACGCCCCAGGAGAAATACATGGTGGGGCTTTCCTCCCCAAGGCACCCAGCGACCTGGTGCACCCTATGGATGCCCAACAAAATGTTAGCCCTTTCTCTCATCTGGGAGAGTCACCTGCCAACCGAGTCCGGTTTTGTTTCTAAAATGTCTGGCTCCTAAATCCTTAAAATAAGCACAGATCTCCAGATAAGATGCTAGAGTCTAGGGATCACTTAAAACATTAGTGTCTGTGTTACAACTACATAATAAACGTGCTTACTGGGAGAGGGGGGGGTCAGATGGACAATAAGCTACTCTGTTTTTTTTGTGTGTGGTTTTTTTTTTTTTTTAAAAAAAAACAATCTGTACTTGTGCAGTTTCTTTAAAACAAAATTATTATAGATGTATTCTCTCTACTGACCCCTCTCTAACCTACCTAGTATTTCTCCTTACTGAAAACCAACTAAATTCTCAGGAGATATTGACTTGCAAACATTCTAAAGTGCTGATTACCATTTGCTTTTCCTCGGGTGGAGAAAACATCCTGCCTATATTGATATAATGGAGGGCATCGAGGGCCAAAGCTCTTCACCCAGGCACCAATTAAAAGCAAAATTCTACCTAAATCATCCCACCTTTTCAAAGGGTAATTTATTCTGACACATGAATTACTTTCTAAAGGATAAAATGCCAAAAGGCTTGTGAGTGATACCGAAGCCTTTCATTTTTAGAAGCTAACAGATATCCACAAAGACACATCTGCATGTACAGAACCGCAGCTTTATTATAAACAACTAAACTTCCTATAGGATAGTCATTCACTGATGGTTGTCACCCTCCCTTCCTAAAAAAAAAAAAAAAAAAATGACCTCATGAGAAAAAGATGAAGAAAATGTGTTCTCGCTTGGGGAAATGTCATTTTACAAATCATCATTATTATGCTGTGCCTAGTTAACTGCCTACTCATTTGAATTTTGGGATTCTGGAAAGTGTTGACACATTAATAAGGGGCCAGAAAGCTTTTATGGCAGACGCGTAAAGCTTATTCTGTGGTACTTTTCCCACAGAATAAAGAGATCTTTCTCTTGGAGATTCTGGGGACCTCTCAAACCCCCCGGAAGAGGACTAGCATATGATACCTGTATGGGAGCTCCTCGAGGGAGGCGAGCAGGCCAGAGGAAGAGCTGCGTTACATAACCGGTTACCTAAAACTAAATATTCCACTCCAAGAAGCTGTCCAGATGTTGCAGAAAAGAGATGATGAAAAGGCTACGAAAGGGATCTGCTTGCCTTTAGCTGTGGGAACAGTCATAGGTGGAAGACGTCTTTGTGCAGATATTTGTCAGAGCATTGGCACCTCTCTCTGGTGTTCTGCCAGCAGTGGGCTCTCTATTAATGACCTGGGGCACATAAGCTGCCAGCATATGTATGACCTTTAATTTTCACCCCGTGAAATGAATCCCCTTTGTGCAACATAGTAACTTTGGGGGCTGTTTTAGTGACTGATGACTGAACCTTGACAAATTATTGGCTTAGGGTGAGAGTTGAAATTCTTGCGGCAAATCCCTTGGGAATCTTCTGACTCCAGGAGGACCGCGGGGATGGCTTTTGCCTGGAAAGTCCTCAACTGCTACGCTGAGTCCCCACATTTGGTGTCTCCTAATGGTCAGAGCTCTGTTGGCTGCCAACCAGGAGAGTTTGAAATGAAGAAGCTGGAATGTTAGCCGTAGAGTGTGTGTGAATGGAGGCATGGGGGAGGGAAGAAGGCTTCTCTCAAAGTGTCTTACCGCCTTCTATCAATGTTTGCAACAACGCTGTGTCTCCCCAGTCCTCCGACCCCATCCCCCTGGTCTCTCTAGGCCGCACTCCCCTTAGTGTGCCTGGGGAGGAGGCACACCTGTGGAGGGCTGGGGGGAGCAGGACAGTGGCAGCGCGCGGCATGGTGCTGCAGCCAAGCCGAAAGCCTGACTGTTTTCCTCTGCTTTGCAGCGGGAGGAGGTGGCGGAGCAGCTAGCGGGCAGCGGGCGCCCCCCCTGCGCAAGCCTCCGCCCCCGGGGCTAGCCCCGCACCCCACCGGCGCGCCATGATCGCCACCGGCGGCCTGCTGAGGATTTCCGCCCGGAAGCAGGATCCCCTCCGCCCTCCCAGCCAGGTTCCCAAGCGCAAGCGGAAAGTCCAGAAGAGGCGCAAGAACGACGTGGTGGTGGTGAAGGGCAAGCTGAAGCTGTGCTCCATCTCGGGGCTCATCGCCCTCTGCGGGATCCTGGTGCTGCTGGTGGGCATCGCCATGGCCGTGGTGGGTTACTGGCCCAAGGCCAA